GGGGGGGGGGGGGGGGGGGGGTGCAGCTTGGGGCTACATTAAGCTCGTATTATGCTCTGGAGGATGTAGATCCAGTGTTTCCCATTTCCTGCCTGCGTGAATGCGAATCAAACAGTGTGTCTTCTCTCCCCCTTGGAGCGCTGATGTCACTGGTCTGTCTCGTGCGTCACCCGTGCTCCGCGTCAGTGTTTCCCAAACTTGTACAGTTTGGGGGACATGAGGAGAAGTTTCAATAGTGCACCTGGTTTCCGAACCCAGATTTAGTCATTAATTTTTATTTTTTTAATTGACCATAAACATTTATGTTGTGTGGACCGGCGTAGGCATGGTAAGGTTCTCTGACCCGTGATCTCTAGGAATATTTGTGGCGAAACTGCTCTCATGGGGAACGCCATGTCCTGATTATAATAATTTTGCTTTATTGTCGATGAGCCTATAGACTCCTTTTTTTTGTTAGCATGTATGGGATTTGGGGGGGGGGGCGGGGGGCGCCTCCACCTGGCAACGTTGATATTTGAAACATACTGCGGGTAGGGAAAATTATGTATTGTCACAAACAGTTCTCTTTTCGTCATTTTGAAAACATGATATCAAGGCATGACAACAAGGCATGACAGTGACAACAAGGCAGGACAACAAGGCTTGACAATGACAACAAGGCATGAAAAACAAGGCATGACAATGACAACAAGGAATTGACAACAAGGCTTGACAATGACAACCAGGCAGGACAACAAGGCTTGACAATGACAACAAGGCAGGACAACAAGGCTTGACAATGACAACAAGGCAGGACAACAAGGCTTGACAATGACAACAAGGCAGGACAACAAGGCTTGACAATGACAACCAGGCAGGACAACAAGGCTTGACAATGACAACAAGGCAGGACATCAAGGCTGACAATGACAACCAGGCATGACAAAAAGGCTTGACAATGACAACAAGGCAGGACAACAATGCTTGACAATGACAACCAGGCAGGACAATAAGGCTTGACAATGACAACAAGGCAGGACAACTAGGCTTGACATTGACAACCAGGCATGACAACAAGGCTTGACAATGACAACAAGGCAGGACAACAAGGCTTGACAATGACAACCAGCCATGACAAAAAGGCTTGACAATGACAACCAGGCATGACAAAAAGGCCTGACAATGACAACAAGGCAGGACAACAAGGCTCGACAATGACACCCTAGGACAACAAGGCTTGACAATGACAACAAGGCAGGACATCAAGGCTGACAATGACAACCAGGCATGACAAAAAGGCTTGACAATGACAACAAGGCAGGACAACAAGGCTTGACAATGACAACCAGGCAGGACAATAAGGCTTGACAATGACAACAAGGCAGGACAACAATGCTTGACAATGACAACCAGGCAGGACAAGAAGGCTTGACAATGACAACAAGGCAGGACAACTAGGCTTGACAATGACAACCAGGCATGACAACAAGGCTTGACAATGACAACAAGGCAGGACAACAAGGCTTGACAATGACAACCAGGCATGACAAAAAGGCTTGACAATGACAACCAGGCATGACAAAAAGGCTTGACAATGACAACAAGGCAGGACAACAAGGCTTGACAATGACACCCAGGCATGACAACAATGCTTGACAATGACAACCAGGCTGACAATAAGGCTTGACAATGACAACAAGCCAGGACGGCATGGCTTGACAATGACAAAAAGGCTTGACAATGACAACCAGGCTTGACAAAAAGGCTTGACAATGACAACAAGGCTTGACAATGACAACAAGGCATGACAACAATGCTTGACATTGACAACCAGCCTGATAATAAGGCTTTACAATGACAACAAGCCAGGACAACAAGGCTTGACTATGACAACAAGGCAGGACAACAAGGCTTGACAATGACAACCAGGCAGGACAACAAGGACTATACAATGATAACAAGGCAGGACAACAAGGCTTGACAATGACAACAAGGCAGGACAACAAAGCTTGACAATGACAACAAGGCAGGACAACAAGGCTTGACAATGACAACTAGGCTTGACAAAAAGGCTTGACAATCACAACAAGGCAGGACAACAAGGCTTGACAATGACACCCGGCATGACAACATTGCTTGACAATGACAACCAGGCTGACAATAAGGCTTAACAATGACAACAAGCCAGGACAACAAGGTTTGACAATGACAACAAGGCAGGACAACAAGGCTTGACAATGACAACCAGGCATGACAACAAGGCTTGACAATGATAACAAGGCAGGACAACAAGGCTTGACAATGACAACAAGGCAGGACAACAAGGCTTGACAATGACACCCAAGCATGACAACAATGCTTGACAAAGACAACCAGGCTGACAATAAGGCTTGACAATGACAACAAGCCAGGACAACAAGGCTTGACAATGACAACAAGGCAGGGCAACAATGCTTGACAATGACAACCAGGCAGGACAACAAGGCTTGACAATGACAACCAGGCAGGACAACAAGGCTTGACAATGACAACAAGGCAGGACAACAATGCTTGACAATGACAACCAGGCATGACAATAAGGCTTGACAATGACAACAAGGCAGGACAACAAGGCAGGACAACAAGGCATGACAGTGACAACCAGGCAGGACAACAAGGCTTGACAATGACAACCAGGCAGGACAACAATGCTTGACAATGACAACCAGGCATGACAATAAGACTTGACAATGACAACAAGGCAGGGCAACAAGGCAGGACAACAAGGCATGACAGTGACAACCAGGCATGACAACAAGGCTTGACAATGACAACAAAGCAGGACAAAAAGGCATGACAAAAAGGCTGGACAATGACAACAAGGCAGGACAACAAGAATGTGTCATTTTTTCAAAAGAGTAAACGGGAGACGTTAAATTACAACCAATTAAGTAAATAATTATGTTTATTGCCCATTTCTACTGTTTTCCTTGTGTTCTCATCCACAGTGAGGTCATGACAGTGCCTTGTAGTTCACCGTTCTCTGAGGAGGTCTCCAGGTGTTACTTCAGAGATGTTATCCTGGGCATCGAATACCGTAAGTTTTAATAGGTTTATGGTGAATGTTAGTGAGTGATCACACTGTGCTGCAAAGTGTCCGCTGGATCACACTGTGCTGCAAAGTGTCCACTGGATCACACTGTGCTGCAAAGTGTCCACTGGATCACACTGTGCTGCAAAGTGTCCACTGGATCATACTGTGCTGCAAAGTGTCCACTGAATCACACTGTGCTGCAAAGTGTCCGCTAGATAACACTGTGTAAAGTGTCCACTAGATCACACTGTGCAAAGTGTCCATTAGACCACACTGTGAAAAGTGTCCACTAAAGCAGTGAAGTGTCCACTAGAGCAGGGTTTCCCGACCCCCCACCCCCTCAACCACCGACAAGTTTGATAATTGCACCAAGGACCGGTGCCAGATGTATTCCTTATATTTTGGTTTTTTTTGCACAAAAATATTCATGTTGTATAGTGTCCACTAGAGCAGGGTTTCCCGACCCCCCCCCCCTCAACCACCGACAAGTTTGATAATTGCACCAAGGACCGGTGCCAGATGTATTCATTATATTTTGGTTTTATTTGAACATAAATATTCATGTTGTACAGACCAGCAATGTAAGGCACCTTGGATGGGTGCAAGTAGGTGGACCAGCATTTGCATAAAGTTGAGCTAGATGCAACCAACTTCTAGATTGTACATAACACAGTCTACAAGTCATTTAAAGAGGGAGAATAGACAGAGTCTGTGTCATTTTAAAGGGAGAATATCACACAGTCGTATCAAAGGGTCTCAGATGCCTGCACTGGAATCAGTGGGCCACATTACACTACATATGCGTATGATTATGAGGTTGCGGTGACATATGTGGGCTGTGTGTTTGAACCCATACACCAGAGTCTGATATAAATAAAAATGTATGCATTATTTTAATGATTTAGTGTTGTTGCTATGAGTGCGGCGTATGTGAATGAATATAAAAGTCATAAGAAAAAGAACACGTTACTCAGAAGGATGAATAAAGAAACCAGCAGATTTTGAAAGGAAGGATTCTTGTCAGAGAGAGACTTACTGTCCTGCATCATTGTCATGTGTACACATGCTGGTCACTATCTGTGAATGTGTCAACATGGCATTTAAAAGGCTGGTCACTATCTGTGAATGTGTCAACATGGCATTTAAAAGCTATGGGGGAGTCATCGATTTGGAAAAATTACATTATGTGGAAAATGTGGGTCTGTTTGACAAAAATTTGCAAAACCACTTAAAGATTTTTTTGGTTTTCTATTTCAGTACATTATCAAGTTGTTAAAACATTTTTTGTGTTCCATATTTCAGTACATTATCAAGTTGTTAAAACATTTTTTGTTCCATATTTCAGTACATTATCAAGTTGTTAAAACATTTTTGTTCTATATTTCAGTACATTATCAAGTTGTTAAAACCTTTTTTGTTCCATATTTCAGTACATTATCAAGTTGTTAAAACCTTTTTTGTTCCATATTTCAGTACATTATCAAGTTGTTAAAACCTTTTTTGTTCTATATTTCAGTACATTATCAAGTTGTTAAAACCTTTTTTGTTCTATATTTCAGTACATTATCAAGTTGTTAAAACCTTTTTTGTTCCATATTTCAGTACATTATCAAGTTGTTAAAACCTTTTTTGTTCTATATTTCAGTACATTATCAAGTTGTTAAAACCTTTTTTGTTCCATATTTCAGTACATTATCAAGTTGTTAAAACCTTTTTTGTTCTATATTTCAGTACATTATCAAGTTGTTAAAACCTTTTTTGTTCCATATTTCAGTACATTATCAAGTTGTTAAAACCTTTTTTGTTCTATATTTCAGTACATTATCAAGTTGTTAAAACCTTTTTTGTTCCATATTTCAGAACATTATCAAGTTGTTAAAACCTTTTTTTTTCTATATTTCAGTACATTATCAAGTTGTTAAAACCTTTTTTGTTCTATATTTCAGTACATTATCAGAAAATCATCCACAGGGACATAAAACCATCAAATCTTCTGCTGGGTGATGATGGCCACATTAAGGTAAGGGCCATTGATGATGGCCACATTAAGGTATGGGCCATGCTTTCATTGGGTGTAGTAGCTGATAAACTGAGAGCAATAGTTTTTGAAAGCTTATCAGCTCAGCCGTTCAACTGGTTTCTATTTGATTGGTTGACAGGGTAGGGATTTGTTTCTATTTGATTGGTTGACAGGGTAGGGATTTGTTTCTATTTGATTGGTTGACAGGGTAGGGATTTGTTTCTATTTGATTGGTTGACAGGGTAGGGATTTTGTTGTTTTTAAATGTCAAAGTTACTTGGTAGGTCTTTTAAATGACATCATCATTTTGTATTCAATACATTTTATTGTATGCTGAACTGACTTTGACTTTGAACCAAATTAAAATTTCCCAATAATTTTATTTTTGACCAGTGACAGACTGTGATGAATGATTTGCGGGTTCGCCTAAATTAATTAATATCTATAGCAGATACACGTCTGCAAAATAAAGTGACCGGCAGATTGCAATATAAATATCGGTCATCTACTTTTGGAAGTTAACTTTTTTTGACATCTGCTTAACTCGATCATGCCAGATACATGACGCCAGTAGTTATTGTACACATTATATATGCTGTATGTTTATTTATTTACTATTAAGGTATTGTATGGTACTGCATTGTACAATTTTGAGGCGATTCCATTTCCATATGATTTTAAGAGTTTGAGGGTAACCTGGTCATATTGTTGACATTTAATAGAAAGATGAGAGATTAAAAAATTGACATTTAAGATAGGTAGGATGTGACATAAAGAGAGTGTATAATTGTTACCTATACCAGCTAGGATGTCACATATAATTGCTACCAACACCATCTTAGGATGTCACATATAAATTGTTACCAACACCATCTAGGATGTCCCATATAAATTGTTACCAACACCATCTAGGATGTCACATATAAATTGTTACCAACACCATCTAGGATGTCACATATAAATTTACTAAAAGGTATATCTTTAATGGCTTTTTTTTTGTTGTTGCCAAGATTGCAGATTTCGGTGTCAGTAATGAGTTCAGTGGAGGGGATGCCTCCCTGACCAATTCAGCAGGAACACCCGCCTTCATGGCCCCCGAGACACTCAGGGACGAGGCACAGAACTTTCAGGGAAAGGTAACTCTAACAGATTGGAAACATCAATAGTCTCCCCCTTGCCTAATAAAGAAATTAGGTAGTAGTGATTAATAGTAATTGTAATAGTAACAGTAATTGAGTAATAGTGAGGTGAAATAGCTGCAAAAGAATTTTTTCATTCAATTTTTTTAGTGGGGTTGAGGGCAAAATAGTTAACTGTTAAATATATAAATATTTACTGTACAAGGGAGTATGCAGGGGCATAATTATCACTTGTGTGACCTAAAAATATTGTGTTTAAATGACTTCCCAGGCATTAGACATATGGGCCATGGGGGTGACCTTGTACTGCTTCATTTATGGAAGGGTGCCTTTTGAAGAGGAATATGTTCTGGGACTGCATAAAAAGATTCTTAAGGACCCAGTCAGGTTTCCAGAAAAGTAAGTCTGTGTCTTGAGTGCATGTGTCTGATTTGCTGGTCAGGTAACCCATTCTGTGATACACCATTCGGGGATGCACTATTCAGTATTCAGTGATGCACCATTTAGTGATGAACCATTCAATGGTGCTCCATTTAGTGATGCATCATTTAGAGATGCACCATTCAATGATGCACCATCTAGTGATGCACCATGAACATTCAAACCTTTAATGAGAACTATAAAATAAAAGAACTAAAGAATAAATGTAGTTAAGAAATAGATTGATTTTAATACAAGACTTTAGCTGGACAAGAGAGGACATTCTAGATCTGGTTTGAAGTTTAAACAAATGAGTGTACTCCACCTACTCTACCTACTAGTTGTAAAATTGCAGATATGCTAATGTGTTCACTTAATCCCCCCCTCCTACCCCCCCTATTGTCCAGTTGAATTAAATAGAAATTTAAAGAGCATTTTAAGTGTGCACAAAAATATTTCAGTACCAGAACTGTATGAATTGACAATCCTATTACAGGCCTTCAGTCAGTGAGGAGTTAAAGGACCTGATCCTGAGAATGTTGGATAAAAATCCTTCAACGAGGATAACTCTAGCTGAAATTAAAGTAAGGAATTCAAGGGTTTATAATCTGGATCAATAGAAATCAAGTTTACACTGTATTGATCTTGTTTGTATAGTGTAGCAGAGTGGTTGGATGTGGTGGTATGGCTAGATGTGGCGGTATGACTAGATGTGGTGGTATGGCTAGATGTGGTGGTATGGCTAGATGTGGTGGTATGGCTAGATGTGGCGGTATGGCTAGATGTTGTGGTATGGTTAGTTGTGCTTTGGTTACATGGGGTTGTACGGCATGTCATGTGGTGGCATAGCTACACTTATGACTAGATGTGGCTGTAGGACTTATTTATAAAAGAAGTAAAAGTGCGGTTGTATATAAGCTCAAATTAAACATTTCATCCATTGTTTTTTAAAATGGATATTTTGTGTTATAAAAATTTAAAGTGCTAATGCACGGGTGCTAAGTGGATGCACATGTTTCTGAGTGGATATAACCACTTGTGCATGGATGCACTTATGTAATTTCTTGTTTTATTTACAGGAACATCAGTGGGTCACCTGCCATGGCCAGTTCCCCATGCCAACCGAAGAAGCCAACTGTGAATTGGTGACACTGACAGATGAGGACATGGAGAATGTTGTGAAACATGTTCCAAAGATTGAGACACTGGTAGGTGTTTGTCTATGACATCCTAGTTCAGTGTTCCCTTAAAGGTGTTCCATGCGCTGGCACAGGTCCATGAGCTTTACATTGTCTGTCCACACAAAACAAATATTTATGGTCAAATAAAAAAATTTTAAGTAATTTGACAACAGTCTGTGATTCATTTTTGAAGCTTGTCACCAGTCAGCCAAACTTTAAATTTGGGAAATGCTGTCCCATTTTGTTTATTAGTTTGTAATATTATTTCATCATAGCAGCTTTTCAAGAAATAAATATATTTTCATAAATAAAAATATTTTGTACATGATATGTAACAAGTTTTTAATGAAACTAATGTATGTTGGCAGATTATGGTGAAGAAAATCTTGAAGCAACGATCATTCCGTAACCCGTACATCGGCACCAAGCTGAGTGCCAGTGTGAAAGAAGAGTTCCAGAGAACTGGGCGCTCCAATTCTGCCCCAGAGTCTTTCAATCACATTATAAAAAGGTATGGAGGCCCTGTAGGTTAGGTCACTTTTGAGGGCATAGATTATTCTTCTTGGTGGATTGGGTCATTCTTTGAGTGTCTGATAACCCTTGGGAAATAGGTTATTCTTGGGGAAATAAGTCATGCTTAAGGGAATATATCATTCATGGGGGACATAGGTAATTCTTGGGGAAATAAGTCATGCTTAAGGGAATATATCATTCATGGGGGACATAGGTTTTTCTTGAAGAACATGTCAATTCTTAGACAATAGGTCATTTAGGTCATTCTCTTTGGATTAGGTCATTTTTGGTGGATAGGGACTCTCAGTTGATTGATTGGTCTGTTGTTGTATGAGGTTGTTACAAAATGTTTCCAACCGAGTCACGTAGTATGATCAGAAGTTAATGGAAAATTAAACAATCGCAAAGCATGCAAAAATATATCACACAAAAAAAAGGGTTAAAATAATAGTAATCCATACAAATTGTTCTCAGTGACCATCTCCTATAAATTATTAAAACCTTGTATAAATTTGACTAACATAAATAGATAATAGCTGATCCACACAAATAGTGACTGACTTTATCGATAAATTTTAAGTTAGGCTGTTAGTTAGTCCCCTTGGAAGTTATTGTTAATGTTTGGTGTGATTTCTCTTCTGTTTCAGAAAAGTATCTTCAGATGCAAACATAGATGTCCCATTAATGGAAGACAGTTGATAGTGAACTTGCTTATGGTGTGTTGGAAGAAAGATTGAATGTGTTAGAGAAGGACTGAAGTACAGCAAAGACTGAATGTGTAAAAGAAGTACTGAAGTACAGCAAAGACTGAATGTGTAAGAGAAGTACTGAAGTAAAGCAAAGACTGAATGTGTAAGAGAAGTACTGAAGTAAAGCAAAGACTGAATGTGTAAGAGAAGTATTGAAGTAAAGCAACGACTGAATGTGTAAGAGAAGTACTGAAGTAAAGCAACGACTGAATGTATAAGAGAAGCACTGAAGTAAAGCAAAGACTGAATGTGTAAGAGAAGTATTGAAGTAAAGCAAAGACTGAATGTATAAGAGAAGTATTGAAGTACAGCAAAGACTGAATGTGTAAGAGAAGTATTGAAGTACAGCAAAGACTGAATGTGTAAGAGAAGGACTGAAGTACAGCAAAGACAGAATGTGTAAAGCTGTGAGAGGTATTTAAAATTGCATAATTCACCTTCAGGCCATTCCAAGTCACTACACATATTTTGAGTCATATTGATGGTTAGATGATGTTAAATATCTATTTTATTAAGGAATGTCTATTTTTAAAACAATTGCCTACACTACAGTACATGTATTATAAACAGATATTTATGCAACATGATGTTAGAGCCCCTTAGTCCTATATATATAAATATATATATTTTACCACCGAAAAGTATATTTTTTAAAGAATTCTCTATTGTCCATTACATTGCACAAAAGTGATTATTATAAAATATTTATTTCACCACAGAAATCTCTATTTTGAATCTAATCTATCCAGTTCAATGTGGTTTATTATAATTCATTATATTTGCCAGAGGAGTGTCTATTTTTAAATGGAGCACAAAAATATGTGAGCCACCCATATTTTTTCTAAAACTGTCACATTTGTAAAATAAAATTTTTAATTCCTCATCATTTTGTAGTTTTAATTATGCTATACAATCTCTCCTCCAAACCATTTAGTCTGGGGAGAATTTATTTGTTTTCTGTCCACAGATTTTAATTTTATATTACCATTTTTATTATGATGTGTGTTGCAAATTAATGTAATCATCAACAATATGCAAATCAAAGAAAGATTAGAAAAGTTCTAAAAATACGGATCATGGGATCTTTTATTGCAAAGGTTTCCTTAAAAAAACTGAAACAGATTTTATAATGATGTTGAATGAGCAATATGAAAGTGTTGTTTTGCAATTGATCTCTCTTTGTTTATTATACTTGGTTAATAACATCTCTCACTTGAAATTTGTTTCATAAAAAATATTAAAATTAGCTAGAATATTCTCACTGTATGAGACAAAACACAATATTCCAGATTTCTCTGCAAGGGGCATGTTATTTTAAATTAATAAATGTTTGAATACATAACAAAAAGATTGTGTGCAAAAAAATAAAGAAAAAACAGCCCTTAGTAAGACATTGTTGTAGCCTTTAATTAAACACTATCTTCCATTTTCAAAACACACCAAAAAAAAGAAAAGAATAAAAATATAAAAAAAAAGAAAGAAAGAAATGTATTTTGCAAAACACAAAATTGTGATTTTATAAACTTGATGAGCAAAAAAAAAGTAGGCTATAATTTAAATAAAAATTATTAGAAATGTTTAAACTTTAGATTGTTCCTTTGATGAGTGGCATTGGTAGAAAACTTAATAAGGTGTAACAATTATATTTTAAGTGAGTGCTTGTACATTTTTGCTTTTTTTAAATTACTTACATTTTTTTACATAAATGTCTGTGCTTACTTTCTCCCAGTATTTTGTGCACAAAATCCTAAAATAATCCCCGTCCCCTCTGCACATTATCATTATGCAATTTTCTTTAGTATAATTTGAATGCTGTAATTTTTACTCATAACTTTTATGACACAAAGAAATCTTATTATCACTAGTGAAATGATTCAATAATGCATTATTGTTTTATTTTTTAATATTAAGTCGTCAATACATTGTCACCTCTTTGCTGTAGTTGACCTGGTTACATATTATAGTTCTTAATAGGTTAATACTATTTAACCCTATTGCCTGTTGTTGAAATGCAAAATTCAGGTGACCATTATGTCCATAATTTTGCCCAATTTCTTTTGAAACTTAGCAATACTAGACTAATTTTTAAAATTATTAATGCATGATTTTGTCAAAATCCCCCTTTTCTTTAAAAAAAGTCATTTTATTCCTTCCAACCTGTATGGTATAAGTTCAGTCCAAGCTGTAAGCCCATTTTCAATCAAAGCTGTTAGCATATGTTCAAAGTTGTAAGCATATGTTCAATCAAAGTTGTAAGCATATGTTCAGTCAAAGCTGTTAGCATATGTTCAGTCAAAGCTGTAAGCCCATTTTCAATCAAAGCTGTTAGCATATGTTCAAAGTTGTAAGCATATGTTCAATCAAAGTTGTAAGCATATGTTCAGTCAAAGCTGTTAGCATATGTTCAGTCAAAGCTGTAAGCCCATTTTCAATCAAAGCTGTTAGCATATGTTCAGTCAAAGTTGTAAGCCTATATATTTAATAATTCTCAATGCAAAAAGTATGACATCATTTTCCTATATAAATAAACCCTTTATCTTTTTGTCCACAATTTTAGAAATGATAAAAATATGGTCAGTGGTCATCCTATTTAAACGTTTCAACATATGGCAACGAGATTTTATTTTTATTTTTTTGCTAGCAAATTTCACATGCAAAATAAAAAAGAAAGTATGTTAAAGCAATTTACTTTTTACTATACAATTTTTTTCACCAAAAATTCATTGCAAAAAATTGTATGATGTTCTAAGTGGACACTCAAATATACTTCAAAAGATTGAAGAAGGTTCAATGATTATTCTAATTCCAAAACTTGACATTAGATTTTAGTGTTGTTTTATTTCTTTTGCTATATGTCATTTGATTCAGCCCGATTGGAAAAACAGTAATTGCATTCAAGAACCAACCAATTTAAGCATTATAATGAGGTTTGGATTTTAAAATGGTTATCAACTTCTTTTAAAAAATTATAGTATTTTATAGCTTTATTATTCTGTTATTTTATTATAAATGTTACAATGATAGAAAACACTAACTGATAACATTTTTAAAAAAAACAAGAAATTTAAAGACAATAATTTAATACTTATTATTTGCTTTGGCTTTGTCCTCATAGGTTAATAGATCACTTTAGTGACCACATTTATATTGTACTAAGTGTTGAGCTGTTCCAATCTATTTTATGTTGGTTGGTGGATTAATCAGTATTTCTCAGTATTGTAGAAGCAAAGTTATAAAATAATAATTTTACAAATTTCTTGAATTTAAAAACATGAACATTTATGCCAAGCAAAAAAAGTGATATATATCTTATTCTTTTCTTTTTTTTTTTTTTTACTTACTTGGTGGTTTCTTTTCTAAGAAAATAATTTTATTCATATATCTGGTAAATTTTGAGATAATTGTAAACAAAAAAAACAAATATAATTACTT